AGAGGTTAAGGTGTTCGCCTCTCCCAGTTTCGAATCCAGGTAACGACGGAAAAATTTTCTTCTCTAAAATGGTCTCCTTTCACCTCATTTCCTGCTCTGTAACAATGTTCTTTCGTCTGCTTTGGCCTCCACTTTCTGCCCCCACCCCCTCACCTCCTCTGGCTCCTGACTCTTTCTGCAACCTTTCTACTGCTTGTCCTTCGCTCCTTCTTTCTGCTGTCTTTCAGCCTCACCCCTGGTTTTATGGTAGGTAAGATCTACACCTAGCCTTCTTGGACAAGGGCGAAAATTCTCGGAGGCCCCGTGTGCAAGTTGTGCACGTTAAAGATCCCTTGGTGGTCCAAATTTGTTAAGAGTAGGTTTCAGCCGCCACCCAGACAAAATTCAAAATTTGCTACCAACTGAATATGTTTAATGTGTCCTGCATGCTCATATGCAGTTGCGAGTGCCGTAAAACACTTACAGAAAAGATTTGTTGGAGTGGAATGAAAGCTGAGTTCCAAAGTTCCTTTTTCATAACCTTTTTTAGACCCCTGAGATTTTGTTTTTTAAAAACTAGTTGGGTGTGTTTGTTTGTTTGTTTTGTTGGGGTTTTTTTTGGGGGGGGGGGGGGGGGGGTATGGGAAGTAGCCATTTGTACAGGTAATTGTCTTTTATACAAGTGGCCCTTACAGCAGGTTTGACTATACTTTCTAGAAACTAGAAAGTTCTTTGGGCTTGTTTAGTGCTATTTAGAGTTCAGAAAGATCCATGGACCTGGTCATTTCTTTCTAGAGTGTGGACTAGGTTAGTGCTATCATAATCCAGAAAAGTTGATGAGTTAAGGTAGTACTTTCTTGAATATAGAAAAGACTGTGGGTTAGGTCAGTTCTTTTTAACTAGAATGTAGACAAATCTGTGGGCTCGGTCAGTGCTTTCATAAGCTAGAAAAGTTAATGGGTTAGGTTAGTGCTTTCTAGAATTTAGAAAAGTCTGGGCTAGGCCAGTGTGTCCAGGGGGAGCAAATGTCATTACAGTGTCAAGTCATTTCCAATTAAATTAAAGAAATTCAAAGCAAAAAGCATCTTTATTGAATAAAAGAGATTTGTT